GATACTCATATACATCATTTTTAGAGTAGGAAACTGAGTTCCAACGAAGCAAACCATCACCCCGCCACCCCTGGCAACCACGGAAGGATCCCCCTTATACTTAAATCCAAGGAGCAAAGGGTTTGGTATTTTAACTCCCCGGGGGGGGAGGGGGGGGGGGCGGGGCGGGCAGTCAGGGCCTCCTGGGCTTCTGAGCCCAGGTTAGGAAGCTGCCCCTGTCCAGGTCCCAGCTCCCCGGAGGGCGTGCCCAGCCTGAGTCACACAGCTTGGCCAGGCCCCGCCCTCCCTAGGCACCCCTTGGCCACTTCCCCTTTCTGGGAAGGCCCCATGGATACCCCTGCTCAGCCACCCCCTGCTGTTTGGGGTTGGGGAGAGGAGCTTGAGGCTCTAGGGTCAGCTGGGTGACCTTTCCTGGCCCCGCAAGCTCTCCAGGTCTCAGCGTCCTTAGGATTTGACAAGTGAGCCATTTATCTTGGCTCAGACTCCAGAGGGGCAGTGAACTGGGTGAGCTTAATTGCCCTGGCAGGGGCTGGATGCAGGCGAGGCGGGCTCCTGTGCTGCCCTCAACCACCCCACCCTCCTGGCAGCAGTGGACCCTCTAACCCGAAGGGGCCTCTTCCTCCACGGCCCAGCATGTGTTAGCTCCGTGCCCGGGCCTGGGCCCTGCACACTCTCCTCTTGTCTCTGTCTCCTCACATCGCTGCCTGCCCTCGGCGTCTGCCCTGCCTGTGCTGTTCAGCTCAGATAGAACCTGGAGGTCTTCCTCGAGGCCCCTCACAGGAGCCAGGCGCCCTGCAGAGCTAGGGACCAGGGCTCTGGGTTTGAGAGGTGGGACGCAGGGCCGGGTCCCTGGGCCCAGCAAAGGACTGGGCATAGCAGGCCCTGGGGGGGTCTAAAAACAGTGGACCCTCTGACTCTCTGACCACCTCGCACCCCTGCCCCCTGCTCTGACTCAGGGCCTCCCCCCAAACTTGGACCTTGCACTGACCATTCTACCTGGAGCCCTAACAGCCCATCCCTCCCCCACTCATGCCTCTGCTCCCACATCCAATCTTAAGGAGACTGTGCAGGCACGACATGAAGTCAGCTTAATGTCTTTTTCTTCTTGATCAGCACTCTCCCCCCACCTTTGTTGTTCTGAGCCCAGAAGGGTCCTGCCTCTGCTTTGCTCTGCTCTGCCCCTAAGAAGCACTTCACAAATATTGTGAGTGAAGGGACGTCTTTCAGCCTGGGCTGTGCCTCCAGCAGGGTCCTTGCTGTGTGCCGGCCCCTTGCTCCCTGTCTTTATGATCCCGCTGACCTACATGGGGCCTTTGCCCTTCTGCCCTGGGCCCCACCCTGCCTGAGCAGCCCCACCCTGCTCCCTGTGGCTTCAGATAAGGGGCTGTCCATGCCCTCTCCTGGGGGAGGGGAATGAGGGCGGAGGGAACACCCTGGGGGACATGGAGAAGCTGGGCAGCCTGACTGAGCAGCCCCCCGCTTCTCCCCCACCCCTCCCAGGCAACCGGATAAGTTGGTGGTGGTGTGGACCCGGCGGAACCGTCGCATCTGCTCCAAGGTGGGGGAGATGTTAGCTGGCGATACAGGTTAGGGGTGGGGCCAGTGAGGGGGGTGTGTGGGTAAAGTGGGTGAGGGCTGATGGGGTCGTGGACTCCGGTTCAGATCAGAATCCACAGAATGGAGAGAAAGATGCGGTCAAAGTTGAAGACAAGGGCAAAGGGGGAGGGGAAGGGTTAAGATTGGGGGAGGACTCAGACTGCTCATTGTAGGCCCACAGCTGGCAGCCGGGCATCCAGAACCCTTACCGGGGCACCGTGGTGTGGATGGTACCTGAGAATGTGGACATCTCCGTGACCCTGTACAGGGTGAGTCTCTCGCCCTCCACAGGGAAGGGACTGGGCTGGAGATCACAGCCCCAGGCAACCACAGGGCTCCCCTGCTGGGCTGTCACTCCAAAGAGGAAAGACTGGTGAGACCAAGAATTGCAGCAGGGCCTGCCTGTTCAGCATGAGTGGCCAGGAGGTCCCTTGGAGGAGGTCACATTTACCTGCCACCGGCTCTAGGAGAGACAGCCAGGATCAGGAGAAGCTAGGGGCAGCCCAGGCGGGATGGACCAGCACGTGGGAAGGCCCCAACCAACACCTTCTGAGCCAGCCCCGCCCCTCCCCCAGCAGCCCCTGTGCTCACCCGTGCCCCCTTTTCCCAGGACCCCCACGTGGACCAGTATGAGGCCAAAGAGTGGACATTTGTTATTGAAAATGTGAGTGCCTGTGGTGGGCTGGGGGCTGGGGTCTTGGGGACGCTGGGGCAGCACTGTGCTCATTCCTCCAGCCCCTCCCCCTGGCCCACAGGAGTCCAAGGGGCAGCGGAAGGTGCTGGCCTCAGCCGAGGTGGACCTGGCCCGCCACGCGGGGCCCGTGCCTGCCCAGGTTCCGCTGCGGCTGCGGCTGAAGGCCAAGTCGGTGAAGGTGGTACACGCGGAGTTGAGCCTCACCCTCTCGGGGGTGCTGCTGCGAGAGGGCCGTGCCACGTGAGTGTCCGCCCGCCCTCCTTGGCCCTAGTTTTCCGTCTCCGACCCCAGCCCTTACTCCTGACCTCTGACCCCCAGGGACGATGACATGCAGAGTCTTGCGAGCCTTATGAGCGTGAAGCCTAGTGACGTGGGCAACTTGGACGACTTTGCTGAGAGTGACGAGGAGGAGGCTAATGGTCCAGGAGCCCCTGAGGCTCGGGCTCAGGCCCCCCCGCCAGGTGGGCTCACGGCCGTGGACGTGGACTGACCACCAAGACCATATATAAGCCACTTGCCATGTGCACGCCCAGTGACGGGAGCTCGCTATTGCCCAGGCAGCTCTGACCTGCCCTGCCACCCTGTTGTCCAGACTTGGCCCCTGGTCCTGTGGTGGCCTGGGTCCTTGTCTGAGTCCTGCAGGATGCGTTCCCAGGGTCCCCGTGCCCCTGGCCCTCTCCACCCCTGAGTGGGTGCCTCCCCCACCTTGTACTTGTCCTATAACAACTGTGCCCAAGGCACAGAGAGGGGCTGCAGTCCCCCCTCACCACCCACGCTTATGCTTGTCGCCAGCTTCCTTATCCCTCCCGTTAGCTTATTAAGGCTTTTTTTCTGTCTGTCCTCCTGGTTCTCTCTCTTCTTCTCTGCATTCTCGGGCCTGTCTCTCCTCGCAGGCCGGGGCGGTGCCCTCAGGCCGGGGCGGCTCCCAGGTAGGCCCAGCGCTCTAGTTGGTGGGAGGGGGTCAGACCTTCAGGGCTCTGCCTTGAACTGAACCTGCCCCTCCAAACCCTTTCCCAGATCCCCCTCGAGAGCTGAAGACACTCCGTGAGGAGGAGGAGGGCCGGGCGCAGCCCCGGCAGGCAGGTGAGGCCTAGACCGGGGTTGGATGGGGACTGGACCTCCAGTCATGGGGCCCAGGCCTCAGCACCGCCCTCCTTCCTTCTTCCCCAGCTGCCAGCCCGTCTAGTACTGAGGATACCAGCCCAGCCCCTGTGAGTGTCCCTGCGCCCCCAGCCAGGGCCTCCCGGGGCCAGGGGTCAGAACCAGCTACTGTAGTCGGGGGCCAGGTGGGGCCTGAAGCCCCAAGGCCCCCCGGAACCCCACTGGAGACAAGGTGAGCTTTGGAACCAGCCCCACCCCCATGCCCTGACCAGTTAGGAAGCTGCACTCCCTCTACCAACCTACCTCTCCTGCACCGCAGCAATCTGAGAGGAAGGGGGGGTGGGACTGAGAGTGGGGGGCCACTGACTCCTCCAACGCCCCCTCCTGCTCTCTCCTCAGGTCCTCAAGACATCCAGACCAGGATTTGGCCCCCATCCCGGCCCCTCGGCTCCGGAAAGGCTCTGATGCCCCCTGCCCCTCAGTCCCCCAAGGGAAAGATGAGGCCCCCAAAGCCTCAGGGGCTCCCCCAGCAGGAGTGGGTTCTGCTGGGGAGACCCAGGCCCAGGCAAGCCCTCAGGAAGGGACAGAGGCCCAGGGAGCCGGGCCGAGCCCAGGCGTTGAGGATGGAGGCTGCAGAAACTCTTTGGAAGGGCAGAAAGTCAAGGCTGAGGAAGGCACCGTTGGGGACAGGCCAGAGGCCAGTGGGGTGGACACTGAGCAGGGGTCAGGACCCAGAGGTGTGAACACCAAGAGGTCAGAGGTCAGAACTGGGGAGGCTGAAGAGAGTTCAGAAGTTAGTCAAGTGGATGCTGAGCAGAGGTCAAAGGTGAGACATGTGGACACTAAGGGACCAGAGGCTGCAGGGGTGATGGCTGAGGCAAGGTTCAGGGGAACTCCTGAGGCTCCTCTGAGGGCCTCTCAGGGGAGGACAGGGGTCAGGACCCGGGATGAGGTTCCTACTGTCCAGAGCTCACCCCCAGCAGAGCCTGCAGGGCATTCCAGGCATCTCAGTGACTCCGAGGGGTCCAGGGCTGCTGCAGGCCAGGAGAGAGAGGGTGCAGAGGTGAGGGGCGGGGCCTCTGGTGTTGGGGGGACAGGCCTGGAGCAGGGCCCCTCTGTTGGAGCAGCAAGCACCAGGCCCCAGGTGAGCAGGTCCCAGGAAGCCCCACCCACAGCTGACCAGGGGGCAATGTCTAGGGATCTGGGGGTCTGGGAGGCAGAAACTGGGGTCTTGAGTGTCCTGGGAACAGAGATGGGGATGACGGAATCAGAGGTTTTGGGGACCCAGGAGACAGAAGCAGAGGGATCAGCGTTCCCAAAGATAGAGAGCGAGACAGCAGGAGCTGAAAGGTTGGAGGCCCCGGAGACAGAGGCAATGAGATCGGGGGTCCCTGAGTCAGAAGCCGCTGGGATGGCAGAGTCTGAGGAACCGGAGACCCAGGAAACAGAGGCTGGGGCTTCAGGAGTTCTGAGAACAAAGACGGGGGTGGCAGAGACTGAGCTATTGGGGGCCCAGGTGATAACAGGGGGCTCAGGGGTACTGAGAATAGAAGCTGAGATAGCAGAGCCTACAATATTGGGGGCCAAGGAGACAGAGGTGGGAGAGTCAGGGGTCTCGGCAGTAAAATCTGAGGCATCAGGGACCCAGGAAACAGAAGTAGCAGGTTCTGAGGTTCCAGGGTTTGAGGCTGAGACAGCAAAGGCAAAGATACTGGGGACCCAGGAGAAAACAGCTGAGGGTTCAAGGGTCCCCAAGATAGAATCTGAGGTAGCAAGAGTCCACGAAGCAGAGGTAGAGGGTTCAGGGATCCCAGGGGTGGGGACTGAGACAGCAGAAGCTGAGATATTAGGGACCCAGGAGGTAGCAGCTGGGGGTTCAGGGGTCCCAGGGGTAGGGACTGAGACAGCAGAAGCTGAGATATTGGGGACCCAGGAGGTAGCATCTGGGGGTTCAGGGGTCCCAGGGGTAGGGACTGAGACAGCAGAAGCTGAGATATTGGGGACCCAGGAGGTAGCATCTGGGGGTTCAGGGGTCCCAGGGGTAGGGACTGAGACAGCAGAAGCTGAGATATTGGGGACCCAGGAGGTAGCAGCTGGGGGTTCAGGGGTCCCAGGGGTGGGGACTGAGACAGCAGGGGCCCAGGAGACAGAGATGGGAGATTCAGGGGACTCAGGGCCAGAGGTTGGAATGGCAGAGGCTGAGGGACTGGGGACTCAACAGACAGAAAGGACCGTTTTGGAGGCTGAGAACGCTAAGGTCTCTGGGGTCCTGGAGGCAGAGGCTGGGCTCCGCGGGAGCTTCATGTATGAGGCGTTAAAGGCCCCAGTTACTAAGCATAGAGTTTTAAGGCCCCAGGGAGCAGAGGCAGAGACTGCAGTTTTGAGGGTCCAGGAGTTGGAGGCTGGGGATTTGGGGATTTCAGAGGCCAAGTCTGGGGTGTGGGGAGCCCCTGAAGCAGAGGTGGAAGCTTTAGGTCCTCCCGAGAACCAATCTGGTGTTTTTGAGGCCCAGGAAGCAGAGGCTGGGGTCTTGGGAACCGAGAAGGGGAGAGAAGCTGAGGCCGGCCTGACTGAGACGCAGGTGGCCAGTGGGGCAGGGGCTGGGGTGCCCAGGCCCTCAGGGGCCTCTTCCCCAGAGGAGCCTGAAGAGGACAGGAGGCTGCCCGGCAGCCAGGTAGGGAATGGGGGCTGCCGAGGGCCCAGTCTTCTGCTTTCCACTAACCTGGGGCTGAGCTAACGGCGGCTCTGCATGGACCCACCTGGTTGACTGGGGTGAGGTGGGACGGGCTCAGCTTCCAGGAGCCCCCTCACCCCTTCCTCTCTCAGGATACCCTGGCTCCCCCACCCTGTCTTCCCTGGGCTGCATGGAGTGGGACATCCTTAAGCTGATTTTTCTGGGCTGACCTTGAGGTGTGGCTGCTGTGACCTCTGGTCTTGCCTGGGGGCCACTGATCTCTTAGGTGACTTTGGTAGAGAACCCCAGAACTGGAAACTCTTGCCTGGCTCCACGGCTCTGGCCAGTGGTCTCTGGTGCCTCGTACAAACCCAGAGCTGGGGCTGTTTTATGCCCAAGGGGCAGAGGGCACATGTTCACACTCCCTAAGCCCATCCCTGTGTCCCCAGGCACTACCTACCCTGGTCAGCTCCAGCCAGTCCCTACTGGAGTGGTGCCAGGAGGTCACCGCTGGCTACCGGGGCGTCCGAGTCACCAACTTTACTACGTCCTGGCGCAACGGTTTGGCTTTCTGTGCCATCCTGCACCGATTCTACCCAGACAAGATGTGAGCCAGCAAAGGGGGTGGGAATGAAGTGGGGAGCCCGCCAGGAGGGCGTGTGGACCAGCCTCTGACCAGAGCTCTCTCCACAGCGACTATGCTTCCCTCGACCCACTCAACATCAAGCAGAACAACAAGCAGGTGAGCTGGGGAGGGAGCAGTGCCCGGCGGGAAGGAGGGTCTAGAGCAGCGGTTCTCAACCTTCCTAGTGCCGCGACCCTTTCATACAGTTCCTCATGTTGTGGGGACCCCCAACCATAAAATTACTTTCATTGCTACTTTCATTTTGCTACTGTTATGAATCGTAATGTAAATATCTGATATGCAGGATGTATTTTCATTGTTACAAACTGAACATCAGTAAAGCATAGGGATTAATCACAAAAACAATATGTGATTATATATGTGTTTTCCGATGGTCTTAGGCGACCCCTGTGAAAGGGTCGTTCCACCCCCAAAGGGGTCGCGACCCACAGGTTGAGAACCGCTGGTCTAGACTAGAGCGTAGGTCCAGGATTGTGGTCCCAGTGTCTGTGGGAGAGGAATCTGGGCTGGCGGGCCCCAGCCCCGGCTTTTGGAAGTTCTGCCACCTTTTATCCTTTTGGTCTTTTAAGATTGAAATTGTTCATTTTCCATCGTTTAGTTGTGTGGGTTTTTAAAGCATATTTCCACTAGTTGGTTTTTCCAAAACCACTCCTTCGTGTGCAGTTGCTGGGTTACATGAGCGTTCCCCTGTTGCTACTCTTCCTCCAATAGGAGAGTGAAGGCGTTGCTAGGCAAACCCTGGCATGCGGGTCGTGGGGACCCCGGGCGGTCCAGGGGGGCCACCGCGTAGCTGGGCAACAACCGCCAACCCCGGCTGCCACCGCTGACGCCAAGCACTCGGTTCCTAGGCCTTCGATGGCTTCGCGGCCCTGGGCGTGTCCCGGCTGCTGGAGCCCGCGGACATGGTGCTGCTGTCGGTGCCGGACAAGCTGATAGTCATGACCTACCTGTGCCAGATCCGCGCCTTCTGCACGGGGCAGGAGCTGCAGCTGGTGCAGCTGGAGGGCGGCGGCGGAGCTGGCACGTACCGCGTAGCCAGCACCCAGCCCAGCCCGCCCGACGACCTGGACGCCAGTGGCCTGGCGCAGAGGCTGCGGGAGCACCGGGCAGAGTCGCCCGAGGAGCCCAAGGAGCCGAAGGAGGCGGCGAGCCGCGGGGAAGGGGCAGCCCCCGAGGAGGCTTCCAAGGACCAAGGGGCCGAGGCCGCCAAGGAGGCCCGTCTGCGAGTCCCGCCGAGGCTCCGAAGCCCGCCGTCGTGCCCGCGCCAAGGCGTTGTGAATGGGCCAGAGCCTGGCGCCGAAGGCGCTTGGGTTCCGCTGTCCTCGGAACGGGAGGCGGGCGGGGCCCCGCCCGCGGGCACGATCTTCTCCAGGGGGGGACGCA